CCAAGTTGTGAACATCTAACTGAAGTCCTGCCTTGATGGGATGGAAGCTGTCTGTGGTGTGCAGCAGAGATAAATGAGGCCTTTATTTGAGGAGTTTGCTTTGGATGTTAATTATTAAATCCCATCAAGGTATGGTAGTGTTTCTGAGAGTGAATAGTATCCCAGTTAAAGGGCCAAATAACGAATTAACAGGTACATCTGTAGACTTCAGTGGAGTGACTCCTTAGACATTTATTTTCCTGAGTCAGGAAAAGAATCTGTGCACGCTGGTGCATTAGTAAACATCCTCCCAACCCCTAAAAGCAAACACACATCTTAGTATCCTGAAGAGGAGAAAGATAAGACGTTGGAAAGTCTTTGAAAATAGCATTCCACTGATGAACCCTTGATGTGGACATCTTCTCATAGGTTGAGGCATTGCTATAATTGCCCTTAGTTTCCAGAAAATAACTTGTAGGGGTTACTTTGTGGCAACTTTGCCACAAAGATTAATCTTGTAATGTACAAGTTCTAATAAAAGCTGTTGTCTGGGGTTTTTTTTTCTGTTTTTCTTGCCTCTGGTAGCATCTGTCAGTGCTCCTGTCCTTTGTCCAGTTATTGGAAACATTTTTCACAAACTTTAAGCTCCTAAAGTAGAGAGATTAATTTCCTCCTTCCTCTGTTTTCAAAAAATGCTTAACTAAAAAAAACTTTGTCTTTTGGCTGTATCTTCACTACCTTATTCCTGACACAACAGAAGGGTGAAGATGCTGGATTATTTATGCAGTCATTTTGTCATGGCTGCTGGGAGTTGTGTGAAAGGATATAGCATAGGTTATAGTCTCTATGCTCCATGTAGTGCAAGGCTGTATTTGAAGTCTGCTCCTAAAATCAAAATGCAAAGTAATTTATTTACAACATTCCTTCATAAGGCAACTGTCTGAGGTTTGTCTCATCTGTGTCACTTCCCCAGATCATAAAATCTGTATTACCTTCCTGTATTCACTGTAGGAAATAATAGAAACAATAGTAGAGTGAAAGCAATTAATCACAGACTGTCTTACAGTATGCATTATTATTTTTATCTTAAAACATTCAGAAAGTACAAATTAAACCTTGTAAATGGTTTAATTATGAACTAAATTACGAATCTTGAAAAGTGAGAAAGAACACATGACCCTGTCTTTGCAAAGGGAAGCTGAGATGCTGAGAATTTGTGGTATGGCTCAGGTCTGTAACCGTGTGCAGAATAAATGAAAGCAGAACCCTCTCTGCTTTCACTGGAAGTTGCTCATGGATTACAGTGTTTGATGTCAAGTTGGACAGAGAATTGTATGTTAGGAATACTAATGCTGATGGTAGATTTTGTGGTAGAAATGCTTATTCATCAAAACCAGGACCTGGGTCACCAACAAATACTGTCTGGATCTTCAAACAACTTTGCTGTCAGACTTCTTTTTACAGCTGTGAACAACAGTCTGAATGAAACAGCCCTGGCAGAGGTGTGAAGCCCCTTTGGTTTTTGTGGGAATGTAACAGAAGGTTGGCGAGGAGGACTGTAAACACGCTCAAGTGACTTGCAGCTGGGGTGTCAACACACAGATCATACGAGTAATCATTGTTCAGTCTTATGTGCTTGACAAGTAGAACATCTGCGGAGATCCCCCAGTTTGTGAGGTAACAACAATAAATTTGCTTTTTGCATTTTATCCATGGTTTTTGTTATTGTTCCTGCGTCCTGCCTGTGTTGGCTCACACCCCCTTCCCCAGTTATTAAATCCTATCACCTTTCTACTGAAAATCAAGCTTGAAACTTTTGTGTGTATACTGGGCACGTTGGGTTCACCGTGGTCACAGCAGGAAGCAAACACTTGAAACAGCCTGGATTTGTTGTACAGATGAGGTTTGGAAACTTGTATTTTCTTTCCTTACTACAAAAAAATATATTTTCTTATTTTAAAATAGTATTTTAGTTTAAGCTCAGAAAGTCTCCGAAGCTCATTTTGGAGTGACTAAATTTCTCTCTGTGCTTATAATTTAAACACTGAGAAGCAGTGAAAATTTTAGATTGTCTGTTTTGACTTGCCAGAATGCGTGAAAATAATTAAAAGTTTATCGAGACTGGAAGTATTTTGGGGTAAAAGAAGGGAAGGGGTTCTTGATAAAAATCTGTCTAAATTCAGTGTCTAAGCCAAAGTAATTTAAGTGTAAACAAAAGAAAAAGCCTCTCTGGCCCTAACAATGTGTGTGTGTGTGTGTGTGTATATATATATATATATATAAAAAAAGAAGAGTGGTTTTGCAAGAGTTCAGCTTAAAACTTTATGCTTAATTGGTAGGATTTTGAAAGAACATTGTTATCAAAAGGCAGCCTATAAAACATGACAGTTGTGTATAATGGGCAGAATAAATTAATGTGGAATAATGAACTAAAAGTATTGCAAGGTTTTTTTTTTGGGGCAGTATTTGGGTTTTTTCTTTGTTTTTTAATTAAAAATAGCAGATGGGTCAGACTGAAATAAAGCTGTAAAGGATGTAAATTTTCTTCTATTTTCCTTCTCGTACAGGGTGTAGAAATCTCAGGACTAGCCCAGGCCAGTTGATGTCAGTAGCATGACCCTGTGTCAAGCAGGAGGATCATCACTTGTATTCTTATTTGATCCAGAACCCATCTGTTCTTCAAATCTGTCAGTTGAAGTTATTTTCTTCTTGTGATAACTTAAGTTGGAAAAGTGTTTGAATTGACTGCTGTCCTGTAAAATTTCCTGCCCTCCTCTTCTGTAAAACTGAGCTACTCCTAAGGCTAGTGCAGTGTTTCCAGTCCAGTGGCTATGACCTGCTGGTAAGCAATGACCTCCTTAACTTTCTCCCCTGTGGGCTTTGCTTCCTTACATGATGCTAGATGTGTCCAGGACTCTGTGGAATCTGGACAGAATGAAACCCTTGGGGAATTTAAGTTCTTCCCTTGGTCTCAGGAGGGAGGAATTAAATGTGAGGCCAGAACCATCTACAGTCTCTAGTGCATCTTTTTGTCACAGCCCATCCTGCCGCAGTTTGGGCAGTCTGCGGGGATTGACATGTGTGTGATATTCCCCATCCCACAGAAAATTAAAAGCAGTCTTTTTTTTTTTCTCTCCTATGGGATCAGACTGCAGCAATAGTTGAATAAGAAAATAACATGCCAAAATGTGTCTGTTGGGCAACAATAGCTTGGACCTTTCCCAAAGGGCTTCTAGTTGGTGCTGCAGTAATTTGGAGCAATCCGTATTCCACGTTTTACATGGGTATAGCCCCTAAGGCACCCACGAAAAATGTAGATTTTTTTTTTTTTTGCTTAACATTAATTATTAGATGGTTGATATTTTTTCACTTAAATTTTTGTTTTTGAATGAGGAGTGATTTGTTGAAAGATGGGAACTTTGAACTAAAACATACACATCTTTAAGATATTGCAGTTGTCAGTCACTTAAAAAAATAATTCTGGGCTCATGCATGTAGAGATAAGTACGTAACTGTTGACAAATGTGATAAAATATTTCTTTCCTGGTGTTCTAACCAAATGATGTTGGAGGTTGTAAGGTACAGATGCTACACAAATAAAAAGCTGAATGAGGGACAGAGGGTAAGGGAAGGCAAGAAAAGCAACCTGCCCCTACTCATCTAGCTTGTCAGGAGCAAGGGAAGAAGGGACATCCTAAGTCTTTCAGACCTACCAGATTTGCAGGGCTCTGGGTCCCACTTTTCTACTCTGTCTTAATGACTTTTGACTGTGTTAATGTATTGAAAGAAGCAGACACACTTGCTGCCCAAACGCAGAGGCCAAGGGCTGAGCAGGGAATAGAATATGAACTTCTCTTGATGAGGCTAATTACTCTGGGTAGTGCTGCTATCAGTTTTTAGTGGTCCATGCAGAGTTTTTCATTTGCAAGTGTTTTTCAAAGGTTAAAGGTACAAAAAGGTAGAATGTCTTTTTCAAACCCCAAAATATAGTTTCAGATCTGTGTGTAGCCTTTAAACCATGCCTGGTGAGAACATCACCCCTGGCAACATTCATGCATGTGGGTGGAGATACAGGGAGGGTAAAAATGACTGGTGACGTATCTGGGAGACCAGAGTTAATTCTGACAGTGTTAAAAACATTCTTTTTCTCTGTAATACAGGATGTTTTGGGAAGCATTGTTTAAAAATTAATAGAAATCCTGTTTAAATAACACAGTCAGTTGGGTTGATGCAGTATTTATTCAGATGCTTACCCTTCCTTCACCTCTACTCATCATCCAGGTGGGAGAGAGCTCCACTTAGTACATTGCCTTTGAAACTGCAACTCATTCTCCTTCACAGTGAGCCCTGGTCCACAGGGAGGCTTTGGTGATTCCCACTGACTTTGGTGGGAGCTTGGTGTTAGAATAAATCATGGACCAGAGCCCCTTTATGTCATTTTGGCTGTGAGAAAGAGCCTTATTGTCAATTGAAGACAGAAACTATTAAGGGAGTAGTTTCACATTGGTAAATCCTTCACCTTGAGCGCTAAATACTGATCGACAGTACTGCCACCCATCTCTTGCCCTCATGCTTGCTCTGTGCCACCATGAACCCATCCCCTCACATCTGCCAGTGCAGCTGTTTGTATGGCTTCTCTCTGGGTGGGAGTGGAAGCCAAACCGGGGCTCAGAAGCAGACAGAGGTGGTGACTTGGTTTTTGCCAAGTTATTTTTAAGCTGAGTAAGTTCCTGTATCAAAGTCATAGAACAGTCACATCTGCATTTGTGCTGACAGAACTGAGAGAATGGCGTGCACTGGGATTGCCACCAAGAATTTGTCTCGTGAAACCACAGCCTGTGCCAGGAGGGAAGGGATTGCCAACAAAGAACTAGCACTGGGTGTAATGAGGCATCCATAAGGAGCCTTGGCATGAATGGAGACTAGACCCATAGATACCACAACAAAAACATACCAACAAGGGACATGCTTCCATGACCAGTTTACATTTTCTTCTTTTTTTTTTTTCTTTTCTTTTTTTGAATTAATGCACAGAAAGGGCTAAAAAAGTTGGAACCTCCCTGTACTGTCAAGTGGAGGAACCAGGAACTCTTGCTGTTGGGATGCTCCTTGTTTTTCCAGTCCTTTGGGAATGGCTGATATCTGCCAGGAGAATGAGAAACTTGCTATGAAAGGAGGAGGACTCAGGAGGGTGGCAGTGGTTGTGGGCTGCTGCAATTCTGCTCTCATGAGGAGCATATTGCCTGCTTTATTTTTGCACCTCTTTCTGGCATTACAAAAGTGTGTTACAAATTTCACAGAGGAAGGGGAGAAAGGAGGAAAAGGGGAAAGGGCCCAGGTATGCTGGCCTAGGGCTCTGCAGTCCTGTTTGTCCTCTGATACTCTTCCAGCTCTGATTTCCTGTCCATGGCGAGTTGCAGCTCCTGCTTGATGATTTTGATCTGCTTCTCCAGCTCCATAAGCTCTTGCATCACTGAGCTTTTAGCAATATTGAGGGACTCTGCTTTCCCATTGGTTGTTAAAGAAGTTGGAGCCTCTCCCCTCACCTGTGGCAGGGGGATGTCTTGGTGCTGTCGGATCGTCACCTCGTTTTGCCCTTCATCGGTGCAGATGTATTTTTTCCGGTGACAGTTGCCCAGACTGGCTGTATTCCACACAGCATGCTGGTTGTTCCCTACATGGGACCTGAACAAGAGATGTGAGAGTTAATGTGAAATCAGAGCCTGCTCCTGTGTGTATGCAGCCCTCCCCTGTGAGTCATCCTACTGGAAAAATACGATGCTGCTGTTACAAATTACATAGAAATATTATTCCTTTATCCTTGGAATTATTTTTCTTGAGAAGCACAAATCATGAACACAAATGGCCAAATTTTTGTGATTAAACAATAGCAGAGACTACAACAGAATCCTAAAATTCATCTTCCCCAGAACTTTTTTTTGTTATTTATGAAAATACTGTCATCTCAACTCCAGGTCAGGAAAATGTCAGTCCTCCTGCAAAGCTTTCTGAAAGCTTTTGTGGTTGCAATGCCCTAAATTCATTACAGCATTAGTCCTTTGTGTGTTAGTACTCTGTGGTAGCTTGGGCATTTGTTCCCATGGAGGAGGAAAGAGGTGGCCTAGAGTTGGTATGGAGAGATGAAGGGGGAAGAGTGCCCTTTGAACTTGAAGTCTTGCTGAGTAACTGCTTGAGGTTTGGAGTGTGGACACCATGCTGTGGTGTACCCAAACCTTTCAGTGTACAGATGTGAGCTTCCTGACAGAATAAATAGAATTTAGAGTTTTCGTGTTGGGGAAGAAATTCCTATTTTCCTGCATTTCCAATATTTTGATTCCAGAGAATCTTTTATCTTTTTCTTGGGAACTTCACTCTGCAGCCCTCCCAAATCAAGGCATTTCCCAGAGTTTCTTCCTGGATAGAGGAGTACCCTGTGGCCTTGGCTTTGCAACAACTGGGACATAAGGAAGCACAGTTTGCTGTTTTGGGAGAGGAGCTTGGCTTTCCTACCTGCTTTACCTTTTGGGTAGGTCTGTGTGCATTCATTTTATAAACTGAGGTTGAAACTGAAGTAGTTACTCTTAAAACTGCTTCATCATAGAGGACTTCTGTGGGTATCTTTGGCCAAAATACGTATTAGTGTTAGCTACCAACTGGCAGGTTAGAGAAGAGGATTAACGTTTCAGGACTGAGATTGCTGAAAACAGCTGATTTCAGGAAGAGTCTGGAGCTGGGAGTAGATACTTTTCTCACCTGCCTGTGGAGAAGGAAGTTGGAAAGTGGAAATTTCTTTAGAGGAGGTTGCTATCAGGCAACTTTCCAAAAAGATGGGATGGCGAAGAGGGAGGAGAGAAGGCTTTAGGCAGGAACCAAAGCCCCAGCCTGGGCCATGCTCTGGAGGGCTCAGGGAACCCCAGCGGGGACATGAATGTAAGGTTGTTTATTTTTGTGTAGATTAGTGATTTTCTCGTATTTCAAAATAAAAGACAGGAAGACTCTCAAGTCTTGTGCTAAATGGGATGTGTGTTTTGTGATGCAATTACGTTAATCCCCTGAAGAGATGAAAACAAACAAGTACCTGTTAAGCGTGTTTCAGATAGGGATAGGACTAGCCTGGGCAAGTAGAAACTGGCAAAGCACTTCCAGGGCTGAGAGCAGAAGGCCACCACGCTGCATTTCCCCACAGCGGTCTAGACAAAAAAGGTCACCTAGCAAAGCGTGGAACTATGGACAAGGGGCTGTGGTGCTTGAAGCCATCTCCCTACTTTGTAGCTCTGCAAAGCCCTTGGCCCCCAGGGTCCTGGGCAGCCAGTGTGACCAACTTGCCCTGGAGCAGAAGTAAACATCTTGGAGAAACTACAGCCCTTTGTTTTGTGAATCTTTCTTCGAGTCATATCATTAATCCATAATTTCTGATACATTTTTCTTTCACAAATCAAAACACAGCTTTTTGGTAAGTGTTAGTAACTGACATAGTTTGTGCTGCTGCTGGCAGTGGTGCTTTTGTCTGGGGGTCTGGGCGGGTGGTTTTAACAAAGGCCAGAATCCACAGTTAACACTCCAGTTTCATCAAGTAAATGCAACCCTTCACAATTTGGCCACTGATGCTGAGCAGCTCTCCTAGTTTTTGTAAAGTTACAACCCAAAAAAAACCAGTCGATTTTCTTCCTTGAGGGGAACAGCAGTAGCATAATACAAAATCTTTCCACCTCTATTCTTTTATCTTGGCTTTTAATAATTCCCACAGTCCCCAGTAGGAATAAAAGAAAGTGTAATAATATGATTGATTTGAGAGCCCTGGGTCGTACCTTGCCATATCAGTATTCATGGCAAGCTGGGCACTGTGTTACTCGGGGTCTTGAGTTAAATTCACCATAGTTCTGTGCAAACAGCAGCTCAGACCATGAGAAGAGCAAGGACAGTGGGTGGGTGTGCATACACACACACATGGGCTGGATGCTGTGTGGGCAGATGTTTTTGGGCAGCAGCACATCTTCACTCTCCATGTTGAAAGAGTATTTGTCTGGTTCTTTTTCTAAGATGGCTTACAGCCATCTCTTTGGTATGAAATTTTTATACTGCTCAATAGCTGGCAAATAATTCAGCTGGTGCTTTTTGTATCATTAAAGATACAGAGAGCCCCCTCCTCTGGAAGACTTTTCCTCCAGCTGAGTTAGTGCCTCAAGTTGTGGGAGTGTGAATGCTACCAACCAGCGAGGAGGGTGTAGGAGGAGGAAATGTTCTGCACCACTCAGCTCCTGGTACTGCTCTTCAAAGATCAAAAGCGATGAGTTGCTGTGTGTAAGGAGGTGCCACATTATGGGGTTTTGGGGGGCAATAAGATTAAAGAATGAACAGAAGAAATTAACTGCATGTGTTTTTATATACTTGTTTGTATATAGGCAGTCTAGAAGCTTATAGATGTTTATTTCTTATATTTCCTCCCATTAGTGCAGGAATGACAAACTGAACACAACATACATTTGTGTCCCACAGGTGGGTTTCAGTCATGCCAAATATTCAACAGCCTGGAAGACATTTATTTTCTATAGTCTGTGGCTTAACTTATCTGTAGAAAAGAAATACTGCTGCCTGTGTCTTTAAAAAGTGCACTGATAGTTTTGAGTTACTGACCAAATGTATATTTTCAATAAGATGCCTTGTGTTCCTGGTAGCTATAGATAAGATTGACTCGTCTTCAGAAGACATAGGCTGTGAAAACAAGGCAAGGTTGTTACCTACTTTTTTTCTCCAACAAGAGTTGTTTCAGACAAAGGTTTCTGAAAGGACTGCATTTTCCTCTTCTCAGCTTTATTATTTCTCATTCTAAAAAATAAGAAAGCTGTAAAAGTTTCTAACATATATGCTGCCTGAACTCTCATTCACTGTGAAGCTATCTCACAGGGCCCTAGTTATCTGCCAGTGCTTTAGTATGTGAGTAATTAATTACCTAAAAACTAGGGCAGCAGACTTAAACCGCAAAGCCTGTCTTTAGAATGGGGTTGCTTTCATTAGCTGCAAATCATGAAAGAACAAAATTTCCAGATTAATACTTTCTATTGGAAACAATTAATTTCTGTCTCCCTCCCTTGTCACTTCTATCTTGTTACCTTTTTTTTTTTTTTTAGTTCTCTTATCTTCAGGGTGTATTAGATACCTAGAGAGATATCCAGACACAACTTACTTAATTTTGAAGTAATTTTCGTAGTTTGTGTTTTAAAGCATGCAAAACTTCCTACCTCTTTTCTACTCGCTTTGTCTTAGGCTGGCATTTGTCCTCAATAAATGAACTGTTCAGAGCACGATGTAATCTCTAGAGGGAATAAAAGAAAATAAATTAGTAAAAGCAAGATTAAGAATAGCTCCACAAATAGTAAACATTTTGGGCTTTGTGTGGTGGACTTCAGCATGAACTGTTTTGCACGTCCAAGGATACAAGCAATGTCTGTGCTTTGTCATTACAACAAATTTATTTTCCCATAGTTTCCTGAGGAAGGGCAATCTGAAAGGTTGGTAAATAGTTTGTAAACAATCCTCGGTGTTAGAATTCCTCAGAAAAACAGTGGATCTTGGCAAACTTTGTTATTTTCTAAAAGATGTCTTTCACTGTGCTGATTTAAAGCAATAGAAACTCATCCTTTTTGTGCCTTTTCCTGTAAAGTAACTTCATCCTTTATAGCAAATGCCTAGAGCAATTTTCTTCCATTATTTTCCCTAGTATAATGAATTTACCCAGCACTTTCTGCGTGCATCAAAAGTTTGGGAACCCATAACAGTGAGACAAAAAGTTCTGGTTAGCCAGCTGAGCACAGTAATGCTGTTGCTTCTGGTGTCTGAAAGAGTTGCAAGTGTAAATGGAAACGTCCCTTCTGTAGGCTTTGTAATTGTGAATATTTGAACTGTTTCCTCTGTGCTTCTCATTCCATCATTAAGTAAGCCTCTTCAAATTCCAAAAGCTGCTGCCACACTTGAAATGCCAACCATCAGTGCTCTTACAATCTTTTATACCTTGTTCTTCTCCAGGCTTTCTTAACCAGCCACATGACTTTCACAGGGTTACTTCTGAATACGTACCTGACTGGTATGGAGCCAGTACTTCATCTTGGATTTCTTCTTGATTCGTGGTAGGACCAGTCTGTACACGATGTGTTCCCCAATGGTAGTGAGAATGGACAAGCCAAACCCAATGCACAACATCACAAAGAGCCCAGAAAAATGCTTGATGCCCATTTGCAGTGTCTGTGAATAAAATCAAAAGGGGAAGTTAATGAAGTAGGCTGTTAGTGCATTTTAACAGATGCTTCTCTTCTCTCCTTTGGAAATGTGGTCTGACTGAACACAGAGTGGTGAGACACTGCAGAATAGTCTGGATACTGTTCACAACAAAGCCTTTCTGTGCTGTAGAAAGCTTGGTGTTTAGTCAGAGCAAAGGACCTGTCATGGGAATGCAAATCAGCCAAAGATCAGGGAATTTTTTCCCTCATGCTTTTTCCCTAATGAGATTAAGTGTTGACCACGTACAATAATCCAGCATTTGTGGTGGCTTTGCATTTGTGAAAGCAAATACTGCTTGACAGAATACAGTCAATGAACTGTAGAGCAAGTCCTTCATTGGCTAAGACTGTTCATATTTTCTGGGATTTGATCATTAACTTCCCCTTTTTGTGTTTAACCCTTGATAGGAGGTCATGGAAAAAATGTTTTGTAGCAGTACAAACATGACAGCTCTCCACTCTTTACATTAACAGGACTAAAACTGTTTGTTAGGAACCCCAACTGCAATTATGGAAAACAGGAGCACTCTCACCTTGTTGTGCTGACCCACCTTTTTCATGTAGATTAGGAAGCCTTTAATTAATTTGAGTCTCTTACTGGTATTAATCATGTTTGAAGACCAATAAACCATGCACAGCAGCAATCTGTACCACAAACACCTGCACTCCAATGGGTGGATTAGGTTTGCATGTTATGTATAGTCTTAGTACCTTTATTCTCACCTCTCCGTAATGTAGTTATGCATTTATCAATAACTAAAAACTCTTGATAGTAATTACTTCCCACAGACTACTTTGGAAGTATTTCCAAGAATACACGTTCTACTTCCGCCTTTCTATTAAATAATGTTATTCCCCATGTCAGGATAAAAAAAGGAGCAGAAAATTGCTTGGGTAGGGTTCTGTGTCAGGAGATGGTATCTGGGATGCTGTCTCCCTGGATAACTGACCTGTGTGTTCCTTCAGTTTGTTGTTAGTTTGGTGAGTGGATGGTGGGGGGGATTGTGCTTTGTTATGACTATAGCTGTGTAATCCAGAAAAGAAACTGGATTTAGTTGAAAGATCACAAAATGTTTGAAAAATCTTGTTACGAGCTCATTTTAAGCCAAAGAGTTCATTAGTGATTAGTCCATTGACATTGAAGGCTTGAAAGTCCCTTTGTGTACTTTTGTTGGGTGACTGCAAACAGTATTTCTCTTTTCTGGTTTTCTTATTTGATTTCTGTTCTTTAAAACACAATTATGTGAGATGGCATTATCATGGATTTTTTACAAGAACAGAGATCCAGCAATCTAGCAGAGTGAGAACTTCTGCATGTGGCACTAGCAATGTACTCCTATTTCGGGTATTCTCTGACAAAATCAAACCTTCTTGCCCTGAAGTGCACTGAGCAAAATTTTTGGGAAGACAATTATTGTACCAGTGAATAAACACTTCAAGGGTGTTGAAGGGTATAAAAGCAATTTCTAAAGTAAATTACTGCAGCCTGGAAAGGAAAGTGGAAAACCACAATGGAGTGATTCTGGGGTAGAAGGGTATCAGAGTCTCGGCACGGGTTTTCTGATGCTGAGGGTGTATCAGTCCAACTTAAAAGCAAAACTTCCCTCTTAGCATTGGAATTTCTTGTTGTCAAGAACCTGTTGTCCCATACTTTGTCTTTCTGGTTAAGGGGAACAAGAGGACAACACAAAAATCACAGGTGGTAACACTTTACTCAAAAACCAAAGTATTTGACTGGAGGTCTGTGTTACCTGTCCTGTTTCTTTTAATTAGCAGTGAAGCCCAACTTTTATCTCTGGTAGTGTAAAAGCAGAATGAGGTCCCACATCTGACGTTCTTCTCAGAGCATTTTAGAACCAAGACCTCAGTGTGGCCCATCTCTGCATTCAGCACATGTAAGTAGATGTAAGAAGCAAAAAGACTGCTGTCCATACTAGGTGAACATACCGGTTAAATGTGCTTTTGCTAACTGTCCAAGAAGCATTAATGTGAATCACTTGCTTCCCAAAAATTATGTTCAAGCGCAAGTATGAAACAACTTCCTTAGAGATGTAGAGTGAGCAATAAATATAAGAATAAATTGAATAAGAAATAATAATAATTAAAAAGGAATAGAATTGCTTGGTCATCTGAAGAACACACATATATATCTGTGCTCCCTGGCTAGGCTACTGCTGTTTGGTGTCAATACACAATAATAACCTATGGGTGGGCATTGCCATAAATGCCCTTGGTGGCAGGAACTGGTGAATCAGTTGGGTGGAGGTCCATTTGCTTCACTACCTGAGATGTAATGCAGAAGTCCCCAAAGGCAGGGCTGATCAGGAAGGAGGCCTGATCTGCGTGTGGTAGGTTGCTGTATGGTAGGGAGCATTTATGTTGCTCTGAGAATAGGAACTAGGTTTAATGGAATATGATAAAACTCTAGACATTCAAAATAATAATTAAAAAAAAGAGAGACAGTGGCAATTGCAGTGGGGAATCCTGCATGTATGAAATGTCTCCTCCAGCCTGAGGTAGGTATTTGATGCCACTCCAGTACTGCTGCAGAGAGAAGACTTGGCCAGCTCCTTACATGAAAAATAACTCCCTTGTCTTGAGTAAAGCTGCTCTGATTTATGCTGATGAGGGTCTGGCTCACTGTCCTGACAGCTCTGCAGCACAGTTTTCTACCTTCCCTAGAAACAGGTGAAAGAAATTCTGGCACTGGCATCTGTAATGTGTTTTTCACTAGTAATGGATAGCTTTTGAAATTGTCCCAAACAAGACATCTTTTCCTACGAAAAGAAATGCCAAAACAAAGCATCAATAATATTTCATCTAGCAGTAAAGAAGCTGAAAAGGAAGAAGCTGCCTGATAAAGGCTGCACAGAAGAGGGAAATTTTTGAGAATAAATTAAGTAGGGAAACAAAGTAGGGGAGAATTAATTAGCGCAGTGTGTCTGAACAGTGTATGGAGTGATTATTTATAGCAATATCAGCACATTTACATACCATTGTAAAAAGGCAATTTATCAGCTGCTCATAATTACTGTACACACACACATATTAAATAATAAAGGAAACCATCTAATAGAGGCACCTCTCATTTTCATAGCTTCATGCTGGCCGGTGTCAGAGCAGCAAGCTCTACTACTTACTCTGTACTTTGTGTATGTATTAGTATGCATATATAGAGTATATTTGGGAAAAGCAGCAATAAACTGGATTCTCTGTATCACTGCTTACTTCTCTGCTGAAGTGGCAGGGGTCAGGTGTGTGTGTGTTAGGTCTTTACTGACAATACTGACCACAGAAAATGAACTGATTACTTTCTCTACTGCAGCATCTTGTCTTTCTTTTCCTTTCCCCCCCTTTTTTCCCCTTTTTTTAAGGAATAAAAGCCCATAATGTGGTGTATTCTCTGATAACCTAGGATAAAAATACAGTCCTTGCTCCAACTTTGTAATCACGAATTCAGGAGGTAGCTCCCTGCGTTTTAGGAGAAGGAACTAAATTACGTCCTGAAGCAATAAGCAACCACAGTCAATCCTGTGATGATTACAGTTAATGGGTGCTAAGCACTACACTGCCAACAGCCTCTAAGTTATTTTCCACTTGCCAATTGGGAAATTGGCAGTTTCTGAAAACCAACAAATGCAAGAGCAGAAGTGGAAGTATCTGGTTTTTAATATATCCTTGGAGAGACTTTTCTGGTTTATCAACCCATATCTGCAATTGCTACCCAGACATTTCCTGCTGTCTCCTCTGTAGTTATATGCTTTTTCTTTGGGCCCTGAAGAGAAGAAAGGGGATGGACAGAAAAGAGTTTGATATTTGTATTCTCTTTGAAGGAGTGAGCAGAGACAAAGAAATCCAGCACTTGGTGATTTAATGGACAAAACTCTTGCTTTACTCCATACTACAAGAGATTATAAATGCTTTACTGTCCCTGGTTGTACTGAGAACAGTGAATAAGCCATCAAATACATCTTGAATTATTAGAAGCCTCTAAAAATTTTTGTGGATACTTTGCAGGTTGGCAGCACAGCACAGCACAGCTACTGTTGAACCCAAACACTAAATAGGGATATCGTGTGTATTAGCTATAATAAGAAGCTATTCTTTCTGGTAGCATTTTCCCTTCAAGGATTTTAAAAAGCTTTGCTGAGATCAGGAACTTAAATTTTGCAGCACCTCTGTGAAGAAGGAATTATTTCCAGCTTTACTAGGGATAAATGGATACGAAGGGCAGATTTCTGAACTCATTTGGCCATCTCAGTAGGTTTGCAAAATTCTACTGATATTGATGCTTGTACTTAGGTAACTAAGCAGTATTAAAACCTGTCCCTCTCTCTGGGTTGTGACATTTCTTGTAGCTGCAGAGAGACTGTTATATATTTATTTGGTCTTGTGGCTTTCTGTGCTCTCAAGCAGCAGCATTGAAGTATTATATGTTTAATCTCTTTAGGGAGATTATCCTTAGCAAAGACCAATGACCGTGGCCTAAGGGTTTCAAGTGCCAAATTTTCATATACTGTAAATCACTGTCTCACGTTACCAAGACAAGTTCCTTTCACCTCTTGTTGTGAGGAGTTTTACATGGAACTGGAACAGTACTCCCTTTTGTAATAAATTTTTTCTTTCAGCTCATCCATTTTCCAAGCCCTGTCTGTAGTGGGAAGCAAAACAATAGACATAGCATCCCGATTAGGTACTGAGAAGATGTTTGCTTCTGTGATATCATGGTAAATTGGGAATAACAGCTTTATCTCGTGTAGTGACGTTGTTTGTGTTTTGTTTTGTTTTTTTTTTTTCCCCAGTTTCGACAAGTGAATCTCAATCAGAGATTTTAGATCAGTCTGGTAGTCTGATCTCAATCAGACTTATTTCCAGGAGACTCAAAACATGCTTCTCCTGACTCTATTGTCAGGCTCAATACTCAGACTCCTTTCTTCAGGACCTTGTGGAACGTACTTTTTTTCC